CCTGAGAGGTTGAGGAAAAAGTGAGAAGCAGGGAGCCTGGCCAGCCCGGGTGGGGCTGGGGGATGCTTTGTGTTCTCAGTAATGCCTCCTGGCAACATCTGTGCCACAGAGGACTTGCTTGGCCACCTCCCCTCCTGGCAGCACCTAAGCGTCCTTCCCAGGGTCAACAACCCTCCTCTCGGCTACCCACCCCTTTCCTGTGATGTGTTTTGTTTGGAGGATGAGCTGAGGTTGCTGGGGGAAATGATCAGAAATTACTTAGGCGAAGGCAGAAGCCATGTCTTTTTAACAACCAGGGATGCACTAGTCACCATTCCATTTCCTAAGTCTTGACACCTGCCTGGAAGCTCATGTCTCCCTGCAAATCCTTTTAGGTGTGCTTTATAACTCCCATGAACAGAGGAGCAAACTAAGATTCAGAGTTTAAGTGAATCATTCAAATTGACAGAACTCTTAAATGGTGGGGCCAGGTTTGAACCTAGGCCAGTGTGTCTCCAGGTACCTGATTCTAACCCCTCCTCCATGTCTGGAAGCTGATTCACAGGGGCCCAAGAACTTGAAGCTCTGCAGCACTTCCTGGGTGCTCTGGGACCAGTCACAGAAGGGCTGAGAAACCTCAACAAATGGGGAACCTGGTATAATGTTGGTTCCCCAAGCCAGCACTGTGGTAGTGTTATGCCAGATTCGTGGGACCCCAATAGACCTCCAGGAGCCGAATCCGATGCAATCACACAAGAGTCTTTATTGCAAGCTCGAGCCTGGACTCACAACCGTTCCCGATGCAGCGGTCCCAGGGAGTGAGTCCCAGTCCTTTGTGCAGTGAGATTTTATAGGTTTTAGGGGGATACTCTATGCGTCACAACATCACACAGCAAATCATTCCATACCACGGGAAAGTCAAATGACAACTCTTAACATTAATTACACATTCAATGACAGGAACAAGTTGGGTAGGGGTGATTGGCTAGTACAAGAGGGAGGTTCATTTGAACTGATTGGTTTAGGCCACGAGGGGTGTACGTGCTAAACTACGTGGTTTCCCATCATGTTATCAACCACCTTAAATTACTTGGGGGTCATCTGGCATCCCAGGTATTTTCCCTGTCTCATGCTGATTGGTGGTTGCTATGGGTCCTCACCTAGCCTAACTGAGTCAGGGACACCTGGCACCTCAGACTTCTCCTGTTATGTACAGACAAACAACTCAGCAGGGTGGGTATGTGCTTAGGAGTGCTCTGTGGGTTTTTCCAAGGACAAGGGTCACGCCCCCTTCCTTAGGACGGGCCTTGAGGTAGAAGCTGCTGTTATTTATTTATTTAAAAAAATGGAGTCACATTAGTTTCTCAGTAGTATAATTATAAGCCAAGCCTTTACATCTATTATGTGGGTCAAGGTTGGGAGACAAGGAACGTGAACCCTCAGGAGTTCAAACCCAGCATACCCAGAGAGGAGGGATGGGGACTGAACCCAGGGCCACTCCCCAGGGGCAACAGCTCAGCTCTTTTCATTTTGTTTTAAGATAATGTCTTGCTAAATTGTGAGATTGGCCTTGAACTTGGGATCCTCTTGAGTGGCTGGGATTACAAGAGTGTCCGGTGCGAGGAGGCCTCTTTCTCAAGATCAAAAGCATTTATCTTGGGTGCAGCTTGAGATGCTGGGTGTCCTGTCTTTTAAAGTTGCTGAAACAGGACCATTGGCCTGAATAGTTTTATTGGGATTAAAAATATTGTGAATTTTGTGCTAACTGCCTCTGGCTATAACTGGAATGAAAATGACATTGCTTCAGACAATATCGTGCACTAATTAAACCAGTGGAGAATGAAACAACAGAAGCAAAACAGGCAACAAAAATTGGAGTCCTGGGCTTCAGCACACTCCCCAAGCAGGGCAGTTGAATTTAAATTCCCATTATTTTGAGTGAATGTGGCCCTGAGGAACCATGTAGGGATGGTTTTTTTTAATGTGATTCCAGGGAAGTCCCTCTCTTGCAGTATAGTAACTTTTATAAAGCCCTACCGTGCATTGTTGCAAAAGAAAAGTACAAAATATATGTATTCCTGGCAAAAAGTCCAGGAGATACATACCTAAATGTTAACAATGGGTTTCCTTGGGGAAAGGAAATTTGAAGAGAAAGATTTCCTTTTTCCTTTCTTTAAAATTTTTAAAAATACGACCAGACTCAGTGGCACACACCTGTCATCCCAGCGGCTCGGGAGGCGGAAGCAGGATGATTTTGAGTTCAAAGCCAGCCTCAGCAAAAGCGAGGCACTAAGCAACTCAGTGAGACCCTGTCTCTAAATAAAATACAAAACAGGACTGGGGAGGTGGCTCAGTGGTTATGTGCACCTGAGTTCAATCCCTGGTACCTTTCCCACCAAATTAAAAAATATGTTCCTATAGTGTTTATTTTATTTTTTGGTATTGGGGATTGAACCTAGGGGTGCTTTATAATTGAGATACATTTTTTTTTTTTTTTTTTTTTTTTAGACAAGATATTGCCAAGTTGCTGAGACTGGCCTTAAACTTGTGATCTCAGCCTCTCAAGTCACTCAGATATCAGGCATATGCCAATGCACCAGGTTCCTATAAATTCATTATATCCACCATATACTTTTGAGCAGACCGGAATAATCAAGGGAATTCTTGATGCTTGGATGACTCATGCTTCATAGCACCAGATTGTCAAAAAGAAGATTGGACAGGTGGCCATTAAGAAGCTGCCCCAGTGGACCAGGAATCAAGGTGGGAAGCGTCTGAGTTTAGGAGGAAGCCATGGAGATGGAAAAGAAAGTGAGTATCATTGAAACCAGGAGGCCTGTAATCTCAGCTACTCAGGAGGCTGAGGCAGGAGCATCACAAGGTCAAGGTCAGCCTTGCAATTTAGCAAGATCTTGTTTTATAAGAAAATTAATTTTCTCCTAGAAGGTTCTTGAAAAATCTCTTGATTTGAAAAATCTGGAGACGTAGCTCTGTGTAGAGCTCTTGCCTAGTGTGTGAGAGGCTTTGGATATAATCCCTAGTACTGTAAAATACAGAAGAAAATAAACAAACAAACAAAACAAACAAAAAACAAAAGAGTGAGGTGTATCCCCTGAATTGGCTTCAGGCTTCCAAAATGGTGCCATTGCCGTGATCCATGGAGTCTAAGCTGATGATGCTGAGGGATGGAGGGACCCACTGCAGCTGGCCTGCCAATTCTCAGTGCATGGCTGGGTGGGAGATGGGTGGACACATGAATGTGTTTCTTCACTTCAGTCTTTTTTTTTTTTTTTTGTAATTGTAGATGGTGCATTTATTTTATTTGTTTATTTTCATGTGGTACTAAGGATTGAACCTAGTGCCTCATATGTGTTAGGCAAGTGCTACAACTTAGCCCCAGCCCCAGCCCCATTTAAATCTGTTGCTTTGGGTTCTTGTTGGCTTCTGTTAGAAGTCTAATTATCTTCAAGTGAAGTCAGTATTTCACATATTCCTCCCCTGGTCTGGGCTGTCATCCCCCTTCCCCCTAACCAGGGAGAGTGAAGCCCTTTCGAGGGTCTATACCACTTCTTATGCCTTGTTGAGTCTCCTCTTGTTCTAACTTTGAGAAGCCCACCTCCAAACGGCTTAAACAATAACAGAGATAGATTTGGGCATAATTAATTAGAAGATCTTCTGGGTGGGCTTGATGGGGGAGGGGCTTACCCATGCTGGTTCCTTTCCAAGCTTTCTGTTCTGTTCTTCACCCAACATCAGTCTAGCTTCTCATGGTAACAAAATGGATGCGACAATTCTAGGCTTTACCTCCCCACATCTAGAAGGACATTGAGAAAACTTATTTTCTCCTAGAAGCTTCTTGAAAAATCTCTTGATGGTATTCTCTCTCTTTCTGTTTCAGAATTGAACCCAGAGCCTCACGCACCCTAGGCAAGGGCTCTACGACTATCTTTTGGACCAGGGAATGCTGATTGGCTGACTGGCTTGTTTCTTGAGCCAATCACATTTACGGCATGGTAAAAAGGACTGCCCCTCTCCTATATGGTAGCTGCATAACAGGGGACAGGTGGAAGGCACATCAGGGGGCCATTAGGCTCTAGTCTGGAGCAATGAAACCAGAATAGAGGAATAGCTCCTGTCAGTGAGTGTGGGGGGCGTGGGTAGAATTGACGTAAGATAACGTCAGTCAGTAAGGGTGACAGAGGACT